CCCATCGCAGGAACTCTATCCCCTCTGATCCAGAACCCCATACCTGTTAAATTTTTTTGTAAGTACCAAACTATAATAATACCTGGGGGTGCTACCTCCCGAAATCTAAACCCAAGTAGAAGCTGGTGATGGTTCCCCGTCTAGGTCACTTCTCCCGTCTTAAAGCATAAACGACCTTCACGCTCGGAGGGGTGCGATCGGCGCTCATTATAGTAAGGTGTGTTTTGCCAATCCCCCTCATTCCTGATTGAATGATCTCGTGAAGACCGGAAATTAGTCATAAAGCCTCTGACGGCGAAATGCAGGCATATCTCAACAAGTTCTTCGCCATGTGTGTTTCTCCTTTCTTTAGGTGGTTACCCCCGCCCGCCGGGACCGGGGACAGGGGAAAAACATTGGCGATTTGGGAAGGGCTCCTTTCGTCCAGGACAGGGGGGGGATGGGGGGGGGGGAGGCGCACCTTCCATCTGCACCCGACCTCCTGCACAACTTTCTGCCCGGTGCGGTGCAGGCGCGATCCATTGCCACAGTACCGACACAGCACGGTGCCGCGGGCGCGGCGTGTCGCCAGGGCAAGGGTGCTAGTGGTGTGTTCACCAGAACACACAGTGGGTGAACGATCCTCGACAGGGGTTGTCCGGTGCCAAGCGCAGGGGGGGCGAGAAAGGGGAGGAACCGAAGCAACCTGAGGTACCTTCAGGTACGTCTCTGCGAATTGTGAGGGCTGGGGCGGTACCAGCTGAGCTGCAGGTGGAGCAATCTCCATCGCCCAGTTGCTGGGATGCAGTGCATCTGTCGCTGTTCGGTGCCGGCGAAAGCCCTGACAGTACACTACTTGTACCCTACCCATCTTACATGAAGATTACTCACTTGAAGTAGGGACATGCCTCGTGGGGAGGTGACAAGAAGTGTTGGGGCTATGTAGTACCTCGATGGTAGGTAAGAGGATACTTAGGTACCGAGGGTAGATACCTGGTAGTGAGCTGAACTGTGTGCGGTAGTTGTCTTGGAGCATCGCTCTCGAGAAAACAGAGGGACACGGTTGGTATGCTCGTCGACACCGTCTTGCTCTGTGAGCTTCGCCCGCCTTGCCGAGCTCCCCGCCTTGACATCGGGCAGACCAGGGGCACGAGCGGAGATGATGCAGCGCGCCTGCATGGCACAAGATCCAACAGCGGGCCCCGGTGCTACCATGCCTTATGCTTCGTAACCCAAGGGCCGCCGCAGTGGGGAGGAACTCCCGTCTTCTCGAACCTCAAGGATCCGTTAAAATGGGAAATGGAGGAGTCGACGGAAAGGGGGTCCCGGAGCCGGCAAACACTGTGCCCCGGGCCCAGACCCGCCAACCAAGCTCCGTCAACAATCTAAAATGGCGCAAAAGGCCAAAAGAAAATCTATGGTTTGTCGCTTCCCAGCATGTCCACTGGGTAGTTAATTGGACTGTTCGGAAATCGACCCAAGTCAGTAAAGCCTCGCGACGGTTGTGATGGAAAACACAGATGGCCTCAGGTCTGAGCTGTTTCCGGAGACTTTTGCTTGCCAGTCGACGGGGATAGTGACCAAGGGTGTTTGGACCCCACATTCAGAAGGAAAACGGGAAAGCGCTAACTGTGCGGGCACAGTGGACACGGATGGCGGCCTGTGAGATGAGGCCTCGGGCCCCAATGCCCCTGCCGTCCCTGGCAGATTCCCAGGCGGGTCAACTACATTGGGAGATTCGTTCTCCAATGCTCACGCACCGGCCACCTTCCCGATGCCTGTTTCTAACCAATGGCTTTTGTCCAAGAAGAAACAGAATCGTCCCATGGAGCATGCGCACTGTCCCCTTCATAGGTGACTCCTCTTTTTCAACAACACTGCCTGCCCGCCAGCAGACCGCCTTCTCGGCCGGGACTCCAGTTGCCGGATCACCAGCGCAACCCTCGAGAACGTCTTGGCTGTGCCGGTCTCATCGCAGCCGTGTCTCGGGCGACGACGAACCGCATCTCCTCTCAAGCACCCGACCGGCAACCTCCGCAATGACCCGGAAACACGTTCTGCCTTCCGCTACTACTGCGCAGAAAGGCCCGTTCCGGAGCCAAAACCGTTGCGCCGACCAGCGGGCGCCAGACATGGTGAAAATCCGACCTAAATGCCGTCGCAGAACAAAATACCTTCCTTGCTTGCCTTGCTACAAGGACTCGGGGATCCCGCAGATGGCATGTCTGTGTGGACATAACGGTGCACTTTCAAGCCTGCAGTCGTCCCACTCGCACCAGCCTGAGAAGTGTCGAAGCGATCCAAGACGAACCCCGTCAAGGCTCTGTCCGTCCTGTGCAGTATAATTTCCTGGACCGAAAACCATCGTGGGGTCGGCGCCAGCCGAGTCCGGAACGTCTCGCCCGCGGCTTTTTCCCGACTGGCGGGGTCCCTGGCTCTCTTTGCGTTCCTCACTGTGGGCCGCTCTACGCTATAGCAGGGCGCCTGATTCGCGCACACAAGGGTTTGGCCTCACCCCCTTATGGTTTGCTTCCCAGAAGTCATCCTGAGCGTTCATCAGCATCATTCCAGCCAGTCTGTGAGAGGAGTCTGACTCCAATAGATTTCACGATACGATGACTTTCGCCTCCTGCGGAACGGAGCTCGAAACTCGGGAAAAGCTGTGGCGGTACGAAGCCATGAAGGTGTCCGCTCGGTTTGCTGGCCTCCCCGTCAGTCTCACATCACCGAGACACTCGAGAAATTGCAATGTTTTCTCTTGCGCGCGCTCTGTTTGTGGTAACATATCGAAATATCATGGGACAAGCAGACAGAGTGACACAGCGTTTGCCCCGCGTTGCTATTTATGGACCGCCCTCCTTTTGATGTGCAGGGGTCAATTCCACCCCCCGGAAGACGCGGGTGATTGGGGGACGGGATCAGCAAGACGCAGCGACGCGGCATCGGTGCCAGCACAGAGGCTCGACCGTCTCCAGCGCAACTGCTGAGCTCGCTGGACACCGGTCAGCCCGCACCTCACGGTTGCGATGCGGGGGGATGTCCCCAGGGCGGGAGAAGACCGTTTCTTGGCTCGTTCGAGTGCGGCTGTCCCAGCTTGCTCGGTACGGCAGCAACGTACGGAACTTCTCTCTCAATTGGTGCGTGGAACACATCCAGACCAGAGCGCTTTCGTCTCCCTGCTGTCACCTGTCGCTGGCCGCTGGGGACCGGCTCCCGGACGTTCGAAAGCGGGCGCCAAGTGCCCCCAATCAGACTCGCACCAGCCACTTTACAAGCTACGCAGGAAATCATCACATTTTTTTTTCTCTCCGTGTTATTTCTCGCAATCGGCTTCGCTTTCTCGTCGACGGCGAGATCTCAATTGTGGTCGACTGGGATGAGCGAGTGGGTCGGCCATTTCCCGCCGCCGATCGCCTCAACGCCGCTCATGAGCGGTCGATCACGCCGATCCTCCAAACCTTATATTACACAGCAAACCTGTGATATCATCACCTTCATGTTGGTGAGGCAACCAGCATTCGTAGCCCAGCTGCCTCTCGCTGCGCGGCCAAGGATAACTAACTATATCCAATGCGCTTCGGCCAAGGAGTCCAGTTGTTGAGCAAGGGCGACCCAATTCGACGGGACGCCTTGTGTGAATGAAGAAACCCTCGCTTCCCCACTGGTTACCAACTTCGTACCCAACACTCGCCCGCATGCCAAGGATGCTGCAGCCACGCGAGCATGCTATGCTCGGTCCCGGAGCGTTACTTGACACGCCTCGAGGCGAGTTTCGAAAGGTGCCGAGGGTTGACTCCTTCTGGGTGACGGATTCAGGTCGTTCTTGAAGCAGACTTGCCTCGATCCCACTCACGTTCGCAAGCCTAGGCCGCCACGCTCATTGGGCGGCATACGATGCCCAGATTTGATTTTTCTTTTGCAGCAGAGGCCGGATCTTTCGCCCCCCACCAAATGCCAGCACAGGGTCAGTTGACGTTTCACAGGCGAGGAACCCCTTCCTGATGGTAAGGCAGCGCTGGACGGGGATGAGACGAACAAGCCGTTTTTTACGACTCGCTTCTGACAGGGCTGGTGAGTGGCGCTGCTCACAAGAAGTTCTCCCCCCGCTGCACCGACACCGGTGGGCAAATGCGGGAGGGCTTGGCCCTCAAGCCGCAGTTCGTCGACCTCAAGACCGGGCGTCAAGCCCTGATGATGCATGCTGAGCCGGGAGCTGACCAGCATGAGTCCCGAGTGCAACCTCACCACGGGGAGCCAACGAGCCGGAGCCTTCTCATTGACGTTCCATCTCCGCCTTCACATTTCGCTGACGGCAATTGGTGCATCGTCCAGCGACAAAAGTCGCCAGCAAGCGCGCGCTCTCAGCAGAATTCCTTGGACCCCATTGCTTTGCAGAAGGAAAGGAAAGGGAGATTAATCTCCCGTTCTGGTCCCACCAGCCACGTGTTTACGGAGGGGAGCCTTGTTCCCCAGACCCCTGTTCATCAAACCTGCAGCGCCGTGTGCCGCGTATCCGCAGTGTGAGAGGTACTTCGGGGTACCTATCCTTCATGGGGGTACCGACACGCCAGACATCCCTGCAGCGAATCCGCACAGATCTTTCTCCGAGCTTTCTGCAGGACCCCTTTGCGGGTTGTTGTACTTGGTAGGGGAATTATGTACAACCACACAGTCATGGCAACGGGCAAAGACGCCAAACGAACGCGGAGTGAGATACCCTGGGGTTGGAATCCTTCTCCTATCAAACGTCGGTTCTTCTCCACGGATAACGCGAAATATTCCCGTCGAACAAACCTCGTGGAGGTTGTCGAACCCGGAATGCAAGCCGGTGGGAGGGAGGGAGCATAACGCGGGGGGGCAATTAATCGTTTATTTCATTTTTATTCCTTGGTTTTAAGCCTCATCGCAAGCCAACCTCACAACTTCAAGACAAGGAGAGCCGATATCCAATCACGATATCAGTGCATCCAAAGCCTGCCTTTCTAACAAGAAGGAATTCGCGGTAACTCGTTACTGTGTAGTTGCGAGCCAATGGTGGCTGAGATGAGGTTACCCTGCGCGCTAATCTCGCTTCATCTTCTCTCAATGCCCCCCGTTCGCGGGGCTGAATTGTGGCTGCGGCTCGCGGTGGTGGTCCAGGTCGCTGAGAGACAAACACCAGGCCGTTGAAGGCTCTCGGTGCGGGCACGTTGCTCAACGTTGCAGCTCGACAGCAGAACGACGGGCGTGGGTGACACCAACCGAACCAGGCATGGGGTTGTCTGTCTCTCGACGGGAGTTGGGTCTGCAGGAACGGGATTGTCCATCAACCTCGCTGATGCTCGCGTTACGCAAATCGCCGACCAATTTGCGGTTCCTGACGAATGCCTGCAAGCGCCCGTCATCTCTCAGACAAACGAAGCGCTTTCGAACAGCTCTTCCGTTGGTGATTCACGGGACCCGCGCCGGATGAGTGCGATCTCGCAGAACGCGTCTCGGGTCGCCGGAGCCGCCCTGCACCCGGCCGATTCCTAATTTCCTCGTCCGATGCGATGCGCCGAGCCAGCAATAACTATGTTGGACGAAGTACAACATGACCTGCTGTGCTTGTGCGCTCACTTCCCTATCCGGCATCTCGGGTGTGCGAACCTGGAGGCGGTTGCGGATAGTTACTCGCTCTTTCACTCCGACCTTTCCCTCCAGAGGCGGAACAAGTGCCTGATTCTTCACCAGCGCCGCAGCTAGAAACGGGCTTGGGCGCTTTTCTAACACAACGCAGATTCAAGAAAGCAAGTCGAGGTCAAGCTGAGGCGGGCTGGGCCGCCCAGGCCGATCGTATCCGAAACGGGCTCATTTAAGGCCCAGCCCCGACTCGGCCCAGCCTCACCTGAGCTGTTTCCCACGAGGACAAATCCTTGCTACTTCGTTCGTCACAGCCAGCAGCGGCAGAGGAAACGGGTCCCGGCGAACCCGTCTCCCCGCATTTGCGTGTTCTTGATGACATGGGGGTGAGATGTGACGCCGGCCTGGACTTTTCTCAAGTTCCTCCGTCTCCGGCGGCAACTACAAGGGCAAACAAGCCCCTCAGTTCTAGAACTCTGGTAGGACTTTTGGAGGCGGGCTGTGCTGTGTGGAGAATGTGAGAGAGTCCCTACCGGCCTTTGTCCGTACCCAAGCCTGAACTGCCGAGTTCTGGCCACCAGCAGGGCAACGCACCGCGCATGGCGACTCATCCCACTCCATCCACCTGTATGTACGGCATAGTGTAGGATGGAAGAGGGGCGGGGGGGGGGGGCGGTTGCATGCAAACCGGAGTGGGTCAACCGGACCGCCAACCCAACTCCCAACCGACGCGCAACCCGGCTCGCAACACCATCCCGCTGCCCCCCCCCAACCGCCGATCATCGCCATTCTCTCGTGGAGGATGTATCTTGGAATCGGGTCCGGTCTCGCCTTGCGTGCGTTGGAACTTTGCTAGGCCAGAGACACGGCTGGCACACACCATGCAGGTGTGGGGAGGACAAGACATGACCAACGCCGGAGGGGCAGCAAAGCGTGTGCGTGTGAGTGGCGTAAGTGCGGGACGAGACCGAGACATTGGGGAACTGAGCTGAGGGTGGGTTTTGAAGCCCTCAATGGAGACGGGTAGCGAAGGGGGCGACGGTAGATGTGGGTATTTCTCATGGGCGTCACACCCGGGTCGGTCCAGCAGGTCACTTCGGGGGAAACTGGCCGTCGCCGTACAGCACAGCATTTTGGGTGTGGACACACAACGACCGTGGCTTGGTCTCGTGGTCACCAACGGCTTTGCAGATCATCTCTATGGTGGAATCTACCTTACATCATCGCCTAGAAGTCACAACTCGACGGAGAGGGGGGAGGGAGGACGCGAGTCGCTCCCAAGCACGGGACGGTATCGTAACACTTTCAGTCTGACTCCGAGCAGCGAGCAGAGCAAGTACCGAACCGAGCCTCCTCCATTCCAAAACAGCCCCCCTCTCCCCCTCCCCCCAACCGGGCTCCAACACTCACTCACCCACTCACCCACTCACCCACCCCATCAAATTCACTGCGCGTCCACCACCAACGCATCCCGAATCTCCAGCGTCACGCGCCCGCCCTCGACGCGCACCAGACGCAGCGAGGCGAGGTCGCGCACGACCCAGTCGGGCTCGGCCGCCAACACCTGCTCGGCCGTGTGGCTGGTGACGACGGCGAGCACCTTGCAGCCGGCGGCCTTGCCCGACCGGATCCCCGCGGGGCTGTCCTCCAGCACCAGCACCTGCGCGCCCTCGCCGCTGCTGAGCCCGAGGCGTTCTCGTCCTAGCTGGTAGCATGCCGGGTCGGGCTTGCCGTTGGCGACGGACTCGGCTGTTACCACGTGGGGTGGGCTGGGGAGTTGGACGACGTTGAGCCCCTGTGTTTTTCAAAATTCCTCTTGGTTAGTGTTTTGTTTGTGTGTGGTTGTTTGCTTGGGAGTTTGTTATCAGGGGATGGGTGGAGGGGAAGGGAGGGTTTGGTTTGGTTTGAAGGATTGGAGGTGGGTTGAAAACGTGAGGGGCGGTGTTGTTGCTGCTTACTCCGGTGACGAGCGGGAGAGACCCTGATGTGACGATAGTCCAGGGGGCGGACTGGGAGATCAGGCCTTCTAGAAGGGGTCGCGCACCGGGGATCTCGACGGCGTCGTCGCCGTATAGCTTAGGGAGCCGGCCCTCTGTTTCACGGACGTCTGTGCGGGATGACTTGTCAGTTGTCTGAGTACTTGCCTGCCTGCTAGCCTGCCATCGAAGGAAGATGGCGGCGGTGACGCGTCACCCTTTCTCTGTCCAGGTGCACTCGTTTCGGCGGGGGCCGAGATGAGTACTGCTACCGCGTCTCGTTCCCTTTGGCTGACGAGTGCAGTGGGGGCCAACTACTTACATTCCCAGTTCGCCTTTTCCGGGGCTAGAAGCTGAAGGGGTATCTATGGTTCTCCGGCCGTGGGAAGTCCTTGGGTGAACCGCGTCAGCGCCACGTGTGCCGAGGACGTGCCCTAATGCAACAACTACACTACTCACTCTAGGATAACTTTGGGGTCAACCCCTATCTCTTTGCCGATCCTGTTACCTCCCAGTCGGGTTAGCGGCCATAGATCGCATATCTATGGGTTGGCTACTCACGTCTCCCAGTGCTTAACGACGGCATCGGTTGAGTCGATGATGGTGCCATCCATGTCGAACAGTAGACCGTCGAATGTGACAGCCTCGGGTGGCGCCGAGTAGGAAAGCTCTGCTGGCTCCGTGCTACCCATGGTGTTTGTGTTTTGAAGAAGTTTTGGTGTGGTGAGTTAAGGTGAGGGTGTTTCTTTGCCGCAAGGGTCGAAATATCAGGGTGAGTGAGTAATGGTAGTTAACGGTTTGAGAGTTGGGGTTGGTTGATTGTGGTATCACGCGGTGAATATAACATGTATCACTTTGATCTTAACCTTTTGATAGTTATTGAGACAAAAGACTTATATAATAGAGAGAGGAAAAGAGAGAGAGAGAGAGAGAGATAGAAACCGAACTCGGGTTTGGATCTCGGGCCGCACCGTGATCGGGCTTAGCGGACCTTGTCGGAGTGTCCCTGAAGAGAGAGCCAAATTCTTTTAACTCTTGACAGATTGGGCAACTCCGCCTCATCTTCTTGACCCTAACCCTTTCATTGCAAAGACACGCTGAGTAACACCCCTTTTCGTAACGTTGGAAGCCGAGCCGTCCAATCGGCCCGTTCTTTTTGGAGAGTGGACTTCCACTTGAGGGAAGCAGGGGAACCCGTGGAGCTGTTGGCCCGAATCAGTGGTTGACGAGCGGTGTTTCGAGACGCAGCGGTGGGGGGAGCCAGGAAAGCAGAAAACCCACAAGCCGAAGGAAGAGTGAGCGAGGGGCTGCAGCGATAAGCTCTGTTATCGAGGCGGTAAGCCTTGGCAGAAACTTTTCCAAGCGCTGCAACCACAGTAATTTTTTGACGAGCAGTAGCCGAGCAGCGAAGCCTTCGGATTTTGGCACATAGAGAAGAGGGTATAGCAAATTCTCAATAATGGCCGGATCAATAACCAAACCCAAGAGTTAGTCAATGATTGTCGACTCAATTCCCCATTTATAACCGCTAACATCCCCTCCCCCCCAGAGCCCAAGTCCAAGCGGACGCCCACTCGGCTGCGGCACAAGATCGAGAAGGCGTCGGCCGCGAAGCAGCGCAAGGCGAGAAAGCTCGCCAAGAAGAACCCAGAATGGCGGAGCAAGCTGAAGAAGGACCCTGGAATTCCGAACCTGTTCCCCTACAAGGAGAAGCTGCTGCAACAGATCGAGGAGGACCGCATCCGGAGGAAAGAGGAGCAGCAGCGCCGTCGCGAGGCGGCCAAGGCGGCCAAGTCGACTGATGCTGGCAAGACTGGGGGCGATGAGCACATGGATGAGGACGAGGAGTTTGCTGGGGAGGATGTGGATGATGTCATGGATGAGGACGACGACGATGATAGCGATTTCGATGACTCCAACCCGCTGGCTGCTCTCATCGCGAGCGCGAAGAAGGCGGCAGAGAAGTACGACAAGGAATTGCAGAGCGGTGACGAGATGGATGATGACGAGGATGACGAGAGCGAGGATGACGACGCTGGGATGATTGAGGTGCAGGGCGGCGCGTCGTCGCGCAGGGCTTACGACAAGGTCTTCAAGCAGGTTGTCGAACAGGCTGATGTCGTTCTCTACGTTCTGGACGCACGCGACCCCGAGGCCACGCGGTCGCGCGACGTTGAGGGGGCAGTCATGGCGGCTGCCGGCGGCGGCAAGCGGCTTATCCTGATTCTCAACAAGGTCGATCTCATCCCGCCTCCCGTCCTGCGCGCCTGGCTCGCCCACCTGCGCCGCTTCTTCCCCACCCTCCCCCTCCGCGCATCCAACCCGGCGCCCAACGCCCACACCTTCAACCACCGCGACATCACTGTCCAGAGCACTAGTGCCACCCTCTTCCGCGCGCTCAAGTCGTACGCTGCGTCCCGCAACCTCAAGCGCGCCATCTCCGTCGGCGTCATCGGCTACCCCAACGTCGGCAAGTCCAGCGTCATCAACGCCCTCCTCTCGCGCCTCGGCGGCAGCTCCCGCAACCAGCGCGCGGCCTGCCCCGCCGGTGCCGAGGCCGGCGTCACCACCTCGATCCGCTCCGTCAAGATCGACAACCGACTCACGCTGCTCGACTCGCCAGGTATCGTCTTCCCGTCCACCAACCCGGGCGCCTCCTCCTCCACCTCCGCCTCCACCTTCGTCCCCAAGAACGCCACCGAGGCACACGCCCACCTAGTCCTCCTCAACGCCATTCCACCCAAGCAAATCAACGACGCGGTGCCGGCCGTCACGCTCCTTCTCAAGCGCCTATCCGCCACCCCCGCGCTGATGGAGCGCATGACGCAGGTGTACGACCTGCCGCCACTGCTGCTGAACCCGGAGAGCGGCGACGCGACGACGGACTTCTTGATCCAGGTGGCGCGCAAGCGCGGACGCCTCGGCCGCGGCGGCGTGCCCAACATCGCCGCCGCCGCCATGACCGTCGTCACCGACTGGCGCGACGGCCGCATCCAGGGCTGGTCCGAGCCCCCCGTCGTTGGTGCCGCTGCCGCGCCCGGCAAGGATGGGGTGGTTAGGATTGCGGATGAGGAGGTCATGGCGGATCAGAAGGTGATTGTGACGCAGTGGGCCGAGGAGTTTAAGCTGGAGGGGTTGTGGGGGGATGAGGCGGCGGAGGAGGTGAAGGAGGTGGAAATGCAATAAGTTACCTGGCCTGGCCTGTACTGTCCTCTCCTGTCCCACCGTGTTCTATCTTTACGGGTACTATAGCTGGTTTTTAGTAGTGGGGGCGTTGCGGCGTCGAAAAAAAGGGGGAGATATCGTAGATTGGGGGGACATGTTTAGCATGATAATGCGATTTGGCTTCTTTGGGAATATTGCTGTTGCTCTTATTGATTGCCTCCTCACTCCCCGTGAATTTAGCCATTCACTCATCACATTTTGCACATCTAGATAACATAACATCCACGTATGACCCCCCCCAACCCCTCCCAGCCCACTCAATAAACGCTCACCAACTCCATCTTGACCCCCCGCTTACCCGTCGCCTCATCCTTCTGATCCGCCACACGCACGCGCACCTTCTGGAACAACTCGACCTCCAGCTCCCGACTGCCCGACGTGCGCAGGGTGTACGAGTCGGCGTCGAACTCGGCGGCCGGCTCCGGGTCGGCGAGGTCGCGCAGGCGGATGAGGCCCTCGATGCCGAAGCGGGGCACGAGCACGACGAGGCCGTTGCTGAAGATCTTGAGCACGAAGCCGTCCTCCTCGGTGGTGGCCTTGCCGCGCAGGGCCTGCCCGACGTAGTAGGCGATGCTGGCGCGCCCGGCCAGCTGCGCGTTGCGGTGCCGCACGTTGATGTTCTTGCACACGGCCTCGAGCCGCCCGCGGCTGCGCGTCGTCGGGTGGATCGCCTCGTACCCGATGGCGGCGGCCAGTTGGCGGTGCGCCATCAGGTCCGCGTACCGCCGGATGGGGGACGTGAAGTGCGTGTAGATCTCGCTAGCCAGGCCGTAGTGGCGGAACTCGGGGTAGGCTTGCGTGCCCGAGCAGAAGTACTCGGCCGCCATCATGCAGCGCGTCGCCATGATGCGGATGAGCGTGTTGAAGAAGGGTTCCTTGGGGTCCACGCATGCGTCGAGGCTGTCGGCGAGGGCGCGGGATGACTCGACGCTCAAGTCCATGCCGCGCTTGGCGCGGAGCTGGTTGGCGAGCTCGTCGAAGTTGGTTTTGGGGGGTGCGCCGTGGCGGCGGAGGATGGCCGTCTGCGGGAAGGCTTCGTGGATCTTGCGGGCCACGCTGACGTTGGCGAGAAGCATGAACTCTTCGACCAGGGACATGGTGTCGAGGAGCACCTTGGTCTTCACGTCGATTGGGTCCGAGGTCTCCGACTCCATCTGCACCTTGACCTCGGGCGACGACAGGCTTAGCGCGCCGGCGTCCAGGCGTTTTTGTTTCAACTTCTTGGACAGCGCGAGCAGGGTTCGGATGCTCGTGGTGAGCTCGTCATTCTGCGAGCTGTCGTCGACCCTGAGCTGCGCCTGTTCGTAGCTGAATGCCTCGCGAGACTTGATGACCGACTTGGTGAACCTCACGTTGACAATATCGGCGTCGGGTGATAGCTCCCAGAGGACGGAGAAGGCGTAGCGCTCCACGTAGGGCTTCAAGGAGCACAGATCCGTACCCAAAAGCATCGGAAGCATGTCGATACGCTTGTCCACCATGTACACGGTGGTACCGCGGATGCTTGCCTCGGCATCCATGGCGTTGTTCGGCTTGACGAAATGCGAGACATCGGCAATATGGACCCCGACCTCGGTATTCCCGTTAGGGAGTGGCCTAGAATGGAGGGCATCATCAATATCCTGGCAGCCGACAGGGTCAATACTGCAGATGAGGAGACCTCGGAGATCCTCCCTATCTTTCCACCCTGGATCCTCCATGCTCTCAGGCACCTTCCAGTCGTGGCCCTCCTTCGGCAAACAATCAAGGACCGTCTTGGGGAACGGTCGGTACTGTACGTCATACTCCAGAAGCAGCGCTTCTGTCTCGGCCGCCTTGGTTTCCAGCTCGCCGAGCGACCGAACGAAATGGCCCGTAGGATGCCGGGAGCCGCGGTCCCATGCATCGATGGTGATAAGAATGCGTTTGCCCACCAGCTCGGCCACTTGACGCGTGCGTAGACGGATCCTCGGGATCTTCTTGTCCATGGGAATAACAAAAACGGTATCCTGCTTCCGCCCTTGTTGCGCCGACTGGCTAACGGATGACTGATCGATATGGCCAACATATTGGCGCCAATTCCGCTTCACCACGCCGACTACCTTCGCAGTGGGCTGAGCGTGCCCTTCGGTCGTCTTGCTGTGTGTCCGCTTCACCTCCTCCTGCAGGGCTTTGCGCTCCTTTTCCGAGACAATGTCCCCTGCCTCCTCGGCATCCGCGTTCTCGTTTTTGGTGATGGCGTCCTCTTCGATCACCTGAGTGGAAGGCTCTTTCCACTGGTCCCTGGGCAACACCTCCACAACAACTACGTCGCCATCGATGGCACGGTTGATATTTTCCCTCCCCAGAATGACCAACGGTTTGGGGAATGCTGGAACCCGGATGGAGCCTTCGAGGTAGTTGTATGGCGAAACGTTAAAGATGCCCTGGTGAAGCAGGCCGGCCTTGACACCAGTCATCATCTTAGACATGGTAAAGTACTCCGGGTAGAAAGGCTCGCCAGGGCGCTTCTCCTTGATCATCTCCTGGTCCTGATCCTCCGGAATCATGTCCAGCAGCGTGTCGGCGTCCTTGAGTTGCTTGACATACTCGGCGAGTGAGCACGCAGGGATATTTTCTTGCTTGGCCTTGCGGAGGTTATCCCGATCGTTACTCAGCATAACCACCGCGGGCACTTGCTTTGCCTTTGTCCGGGCCAAGTGCTGGCCATACCATGCCACGGCCTTCCGGACCGCACGGTCGTTGCGGTCGTTGACAGACTCGCCCTCCAGGCGGGCGACGTGAGTCTCCAGACGGAATTCATTGAAGAACACATAGAAACGCTTCTCTTCACTCTTGGTTAGGCTGATAAGACGGTTGTAGAGCGGTAGAGAGCGGTTGCGGAGCTCCTCGAGAACAATCTGCAGCACGATTACATCGTAGAAGGCCGAGCTCTGCTCGAAGAGATCCATGGCCGTGAGGAAGGCATTGGTATCTGGTACCAAGTAGTGGCCCTGTCGGAAGACATTGGTGCCGGCGGGTGCCTCGGAGAGGACAAACGGGGTTGCTAGGGATGAGAGAGTCAGTGGTCCATCCATCCCCCGCGGGTACAAGGGGATGCCATATTCGGTTACTCACGTCGGCCTGCAGCATCTCTTGGGGCGGTATCGAGACAACTTGTGCAGAGTTTCGACGAGCAGGGTATGTCTTGGCGGAGGTACACCTCGCGAACAATCTTCTGAACTTTGCCGCTCTTTGTCGATCTCACATACACTTTGCTCGAGATGTTGGCTGCGAACGGGTCCGAATCGACCGATCTCTTGAGACTCGCCATTTTTGGCGAGGCGTTGCACTGTAAATTGTAGGTATCGCAGGTTTGGCAAGTTTCACCCCGAAAAGTGCTAATAAGTCAGGTAGGTACCTAGGCAGGTAGTCAGTCTCCCTGTTCTGTCTACTTTTTTATTCGAGGTCTGCGATTGATTACCATAGCAGGAAAACGCGGGCGTCGCGTGTTGGACGAATCACTGTGACTGTAGCGCTAAACCAGCAGCCACCTCTTATCGATAAGCCAGCACCCCACCATCACCCCCGTTACAAAGCTCAGCAAAGCTACAACCCTCGCTGAAGCTCCGAGGAGGGGGATCAAGCTTTGCGAGGTGTGCCCACCAACTTGCTTTGGGCAAGCCGTCTGTGTGTGTGCCTGTGCAATTTGCACAAATCATGTTGTCCCAGTACCTAACATGCCACGCAGGGATCAACTCTGGCCCCTTGCTGTTCCGTTGTGTATGTACCTACCTAGGCATCTCCCTGCGCACGAAGTACAGGCCATCGATCGTCTTAAAACAACGACATGCCACATCCCATATACCATCACATACAAGTATACGGGTGGAAGTAGATAAGGTGCATAACGGAAACTTGGCCATCAACAACGTAAGCACCAGGCAAGGTAAAGCACAAAGATAAGAAAAATGTGAATCAGTATCTTATTCGTTCCCTTACCATTCAAAGTTTCTATGCCATTGCCCCTCGTCACCCTCCCTTCGAAAGTCCGTGAGCTAGTCCTTTCGTCTTCTCGCACAAGGACGCTGGCAATCTACTGCTTACGCCCGCAACCCAACACCAACGAGAACCGACGGTCGTCGGCATGATCCGTATTCGGGACCGCCATCAAGAGCCGCCGTAACCCGTCCCAGAAAATGCTTCAAATAAACAACGCAAGTTTAGACAGAGGCAACCCCCCACCCTCGCTGGGACGAGTCATCCGTTGGTCATTTTGCTCAAGTGATGCTTTGGAGTTGATATCTGAATAGGTAGTTATTGATTGCACATGCTGCATCAAGTGATCTGCACAAGATTCATCCGGCCGATTTTGCCAGATTGCCATCCCATGCTCGCTTCTGCAGTAGGATCTTGGGTCAAGGTGGGCCGTGGAAGCTCTTGTCAGCCTGTCGGATTCATCAGACTCGCAAATGTCATCGTTGCGTTTAATCTTTCAATCCTAAAATAGCAGGGTCGCTTGTGGATAAGATGGGAAAGCTCCATGTTAACACTCCGCTGCTTTACTTGCCGGGTGGGATGTGTAACCTCGACTGTGGTTGTCACTCGTCTATTGAAAGGCTCCGCGCGCGCGCAAGATAGCTGCCTCCCGGCCTGAGCGGAAAGCAACGGAGTTGGGCTCTGTTCTCAGCAACTGCGCCGTGCTCCTGATGTCTTTAAACTGCTATCAGGGCGAAGCTAGCAACAAGCGAGCCATGCACAATCAAGGCACGGCCTGCGAGGGTCCCGCTTCACCCATTCGAGGACGCTTGTGCGACGCCAAGTAGCACTCCGTGGGAGACCCGCTTTCCCGTCCTGTCCTGCTGCTTCAGACGTGAGACGAAAGGCTTGCAGCTTGCAGCTGCATCGGCAGGTTGGCTCGCGCATCGGCCTGCACGTCTGGTGTGGGTCTACCGCAGACCGAGTCTGTCTCGCCTTCCAACACACACCGGGCAGTAACGTGCCAGTGTGATAGTGGTATCTCCGTGACCTCGCACTGCTGTGTAAAATATTTTCTCCAGCGTTTCTGTGCGTGTCGTCAGTTGCGGCACAGCAAGGGCTGCCTACCACCCGGCTTGCTCCTCCTTTTTCCCCAGATCTTCGAGGCCGATCACCAGCATTCCGATATCAAGATGATGCAAGGTTGGAGGCCGTCCCGTGCGCGTGATGGATGTTGCATCTTAGCGTCTGTTGGGTCTCCAGTCCCAACAACGTTTCCCTGGAAAGACCCGGCCTTGGTTCTGGGCTCGAACAGGGTTGAGAAACAGAAGAATGTGGTAAGGCTGGTGTACCGCGGAGATTGGGTGGCACGGGAAGCGGCCGGGTGTGGGAGCGCCGATCCATGGACCTGGCCATGGGGCGAGGGGGTGTTTCCCATGGCCACCATGGTGTGGTCTCCTCGACGGTAGCTTTCGGTACATGCTTGGCCCCAAGGAAGAAACAAGCCGCTCGGCAGATGGAACCTTCGGCGGGCGACTGCTCGAAGGTGAGATGGTGTCGACCAACGGATGACTTACATGATCCCACGAAGGCGGCACGATGAGGGATGGGTGAGTACATACCTCCCGGTCGGTGGGGAAAGTCGAATTCCACGAACCCACAGCCAGGCCACGGCGAGGCGACCTCCCGGCCGGGCCACCTCCACCTGCTGCAGGAGCGGGAAGGGGCCGCCAGGTGTGCTCGAATGACAGATGCAAAAGCAAGGAGGAGGGGGGAGCGGGTGCAGCTTCAGTGACCTCTCCGACGGGCAAATCGTGGAGAAGAGTCGGATGGAACATAACTCCCTGGGGAGGTAAGCCGCCAATCTGCTGTCGATAAAATGGCCCACCCTTTCCGTGGACGGAAGAGCAGCTTGCAGCGGGCCACCGGGTCAGGGCAGGTGGGATGGGAGGCTGCGTGCTCTGCAGTGGTGTGTGGGTGTGTGCGTGATGTTCGATGGCGCCAATTTTCTCGATCCGATGCTTCGATGCCACAAAATATCAGCTCGGGTTTCTGCAAACGCCGGTTAATTGGTGAGTGAATCGAGACCGGCGAGAGAGACTGCAGGCCGGCGAGGTTCTGGAAAACGGAAATGGCTTGACACTTCTGGGGCTGTGAGACTTGTCTTTCCCCCGCAGTCCAACGAGAAGCAGAAGAGAGAGAAGGGGTGTGGTTTGATCAAAGTGAGCTGGGGGCACTTTCATGATTTGCATGAAAGTGGTCCGTGTGTCAGCGCAGCTGCAGTTGAGAAGCCAATCGCGCTCGACAAAAACCCAAGCGCCAAGTTCCACCCGGTCACTCGCTTCCACCCCGGTCTAGTCTTGTCTTGCGCCCCACCTGTCACCCCTCCCACCTCATGGCCAAGCTCTGGAGCCTTTCCGCCCCCTGCTGCATGCCGTCGAGCACACCATCTTGTTCGCTATCCATGCTCTCCCCAGATTCCTCAAGGTTGGAAAGAATCGACACGCGCTAGGCGTGCTATTTCCGCGTCACATGGCGCGCGACGTTGCGTTTTGTCGAGAAGGTTGATTCAGTTTGAGTTTCTCAGGAGTCATGAGAAGGCCCGTTACGCCCGTGTGGTAACATGGCTTGCATGTTAACTAGCCGCGTCTTTAAACCAAACGCGGGGTCTGATATCGAATTTCGGAAAGAGAAACCGCCCGCATCATGGCGTGCCAAGATGTGTGTGAGTCTGATTCGTGCTCCGCCTCATTTCGCAAGATGGTCCTGTCGCGTTGCTTTGCGCGTCTTGATCGCGCGGCCAGCAGAAACCCCGCGTTTGCTCCCAGGCCGACCGCCCAGCACATTCCCGCCAGGAAAGGCGGTCCGAACACGAGAAATATCTCACAAGTTCTGACTCGGGACCGGCAAGTTGGGGACAAGCCGAGAGTAAGCCTGACATTTCAACGCGGTTTGCTCGGTCAAAATCCAGTCGCCTCGGGAGATCCGGGTCGTTGTCACTCTCATTGACCGCGTCTCCCGCCGCTGACCCAAAGCGAGGAATCGCGCAGTTTCAGCCGTGGCGTCATCCGCGCTCCGGATCGCCGGGCAGCCGGCCAATCAAACTCGCATGGGCAAGACAATATTGGCAGCTGACGAACCGCGGCGGGCCTGGATGGCGAGCGAAAATCGAGCTCGCCTCCCTGTCTGCAAAGTCTCCCTCGAGATCCGTACAACGGCAGCTTCATATCGTTTCCGTCCTCTGCGGAAGCAGGCGAAGGGCCGACACAGTTGATCATAACGGTTGCCGAATGCGTGGGGTTCGATGTGGAGATACTGAGACATACAGCTCGCAATCCGGCTCGCTTCGCCGTGATCTTTCATGTGACAGATAGTGACTTTCGACCTGTCGGGTCCGGCTGCAGGCTGACCTCATCTTGAACGGCATGCGGTGCGACAAGGCTTGCGCATGACTCCAAGTAAGCCGTTTTATCGACTCCGCGTGCGCGGAAAAGACGCGCTGCCTTTTTCGCTGGAAGTAAATCGATAATGGGATCCTATCCAAGAAACTCGGGGTCGAACAAGCATTAACGGGGGAAAAAAGAAGGAAAAAAGACAACGAGAAAAAAGATGGGAGCCTCAGTCAAACATTTCCCAAAACTGTGTCCCGGAGGAAAGGAGGGGTATTCCTATCGGGAAATTCCTAAGAAGCAAGGGGTTGATGGCTATCGGACAACCTGATTGGATGCGGTCCAGGCGCCGACCCCATGCTCAGCTTCGTTGTGTCTCTCAGAGGTGCTTTCCTTTCCAAGTTCCAACGACTGGACACGCAGCCTGTGTAACTGATTGGAATGGAGCTTGAATACTCAGACTAACTAAGATATTCGCTATAGTGCGAGTCAGTCGACACCAAGGTAGCATGGAAAATTTCCATTCAACCCCAATTCCAGAAGCCCGCAAAAATCACCGATTAGACGACCTTGCCCTTGTCCGCCAGCCTTACGCACCCCCCTCCATATCTATATGCACATGTGTACATACGTATCGACAAACATACAAGTATTTCCCGGCCTGCAGACAGCCGACAACGCTCGCCGGGGTAATCTCGAGGCCGCCTGCCTGCACAGCCGCTGCGGGGTTTTGGGGTGTTCTTCGGATTAAGCCGACCAGTTCGTTATCGGGAACGTCGACAAGGCATGGAAGGTAACTCGGGTCATTGCCCAAGCAGCTGGGAAATCTGAGATGACACCCTCTCGTCATATTTGGCGCCATGGAGAGCGCACCTGACCGTTCAGGTGACAGCACCACCGACTGTTATGGAAGCTGAGGAGAGTCTCGCGCTCGCCCCGTCCCCTCACAATATTCGCATGGCGGGGCCGCTGTCAGCAAGCAAACGGGGACCCTTTTTCCCCGATCAGATCTGCAGCATGCTTTAATCGTTTGCCACGGCACCCGCATAGTGTTATTCATTCCTCTGTACCACCATCAAGCCATGGAGACCCCTTCCTTCAGCCAAGTCCCGTGCCCGCAAGCTTCATGCGGGCATCGTTTAGCGCCCTGAGTCTGCTGCAACATCTCTTCTTCTCGCCTGGTTTTCGTCATTCGGGTCTGCAGTCAAAAATTCGAGAAAGTGAGCTTTCATATTAGTCACACCTGCGTTCAAACCAGTCATCGTCTTGATCCGGCGGCACTTTGTTCTGGCGCGGGGGTACCTCGGCACAGACAGGATACGCCCGGGTCAGTCGCACAAGGCTCCATCATGGTCGTGAGTTTCGACTGCCCCTGCCCTGCTACCTTCTCCGTTTACCCCTGCCGTGTTCGAATGAGGCGAATGAAGCCGGCGATTCCCGCTCTCCCTCTCACAAGCTCGAGAAAAACTTCAAGGGCTTCTTGTGCCTAGCGCCAAATCTTCGTGTTAAAATATCTCTGAATAGCTGCTAGAAGTTCAACTAGATGGAGAACAGGCAGGGATCGGCCGTCTGTCCAGCGTCGTGGAGGCCGGCGAGTACCCATGTCCAGCTTACCCGCTGTCCCAACCCAAGAAAACCTGTTCCCCAAACGGGAGAGAAGAAGGAAGCCGTCCCGCCCCTTCCAACACAACCCCTCTTTGCGCACGAAGGACGGATTCCCCGGCCAGGGATCCACATGGCGGTCCGAGGGAAAGGGCGCTAGCAGCACGCGCCGCATCTTGATATTGGGTAAGGAAAGTCGTCGTGGGGACCAAAGGCAGCGACGACCTGATATCTGAAAGACGACAATGGAGGTGGAGTAACTCCCAAGGTACGAAGTCCCTTGACGTTAAATGATTGGAAGTTTCATCGCAAAGTCGCTCAACGGCTTTTGATGGATGGTACCTATTCTCTCGTTTGCGCCAAACAGACCGCAAATACCTACCTAACTACCTAGCCGTGGCCCCGTTGGCCTCAAGCTGACGGGTCTCGGTCCAGGAGAGTGAGCGTTTTTGTCGTCCGAATTCGTGCTGCCGCAGCTCGTGTTAATGATGATAACGCCGCGGCAGCCGTCAACAGATGGATGCAAGGGTGCCCCGCTCTGCCTTGCCGTAACAGGACAGGCGCCAAGCCACTGCCTAAAGCGGATTAGTCTGGTCCCCGCGTGTGTCCTGCAGCCGTCCAAGTTCTTCGCAGCATTTTTGAACCTGACAGGAGCCATGGCACCCTGGACCCTTTGCTCAAGACACGCCGCCCGTGGCAAGACCCGAAGCCGAACGCGAAAGTGCTTTTCCTTTTCAAAACCTGAGCTCCCCAGCTCCCCCAGCACCCCAGCTTGAGCAACTCAGCAGGGAATCCGATGAGTAAAAGGAGGAGGCGACAAATCAAGAGGAAAAGCACGCACCCTGCCTGCTCCCGCGTCCCTGCCTTTTTTTTTTTTTATAACTTTTACCCTTCCATTCGACACCCGACTCCCTGGAAGCAGCAGCCCGTGGATTTGCGCCAACCACATGCACGAGCATTCCTGGTCTGCACCACCCAGCGCGCGCCCGTGCATTCCACACCGGGAAGTTTGAGAAGGAAGCTCTGACGACTTTGCTTTTGGTTGTGTCGCCCCTCCACCCCCCCCCTTCCTTTCAAGCCAGCTAGACAGCCCAACTATATCAAGACACGTCGTGTCGCAGACCCATCGACGTGTGGTCGACGTCGAACGGCACCGATGTACGCTGCACAGCCCAACGGCGCCGATAGTGCAACAATCAATCCAGCCGCGCTCAACACAGGTGCGTCGCTGGGAACTGGGACCCCTTCCTTTTTGCTACTGGTGCTGTTTTACCCCCCCCTCCCTTGCACCTAGCATGCGATAGCTTGTTCGCGCATCGCAGACTCCAAGCTCCTGTGGTCCCGCGATCCGCGACTGTACACCACCACCACCGTTCTGTCTTCTCGTCCGGGTTGCTTGAGCCCTCGGCTCATCGAGTACAATCTCGGTTTTTCTTATCACAACATCAAAGCTTCAAACCTGATGCGCCTGTTCATCCTTTGTTGCCCATCATGCCGTCCCATCTCTTCCCGATGGGCCTACGCGCATCCTTCAACTTGGCATTTTGCCCCTCGCGCCGCTCAACGCGCAATGCTAACCTCAGTTCGGCGCAGACCTGATTGACCCTCCCCCTCGAGGCGTCAAGCGGAGCCGATCCCCCGACGACTTCGGGGACGCAGGACCGCCAGGTTCGGCTGGTGATGACGGTATGTTGTGTTTGTTTCTGTGTCGCTGAAGCGCTCTACAACTGAATCGGCCGTTCCCGCGTCGCACCCCGCTGGCCGTGCAACCCCTTGCGCGTATGACCCGCGAACACAGGCTAACAGAGCCATTCGGGCTTTCAGGTGGTGACAAGCCCAGAAAAAGAGGAAGACCGATGAAGTCCCGCACATCCGGGGGCGTTCCCGAGACCGCCGTCCCGGCACCTCTCCCGCCTCTCCCGCCTACCCCCCAGACCATCCCACCGCAAACACCCCAGAGTCAAAATGCGCCCTTGCCGGCCCAGACACCCACCTATGCTCCGCCTCAAGCGTCGCCGCCGAAGTCTACCCCCACAAAGTCCACTTTGAAGGCGCTCCCGACCGTACGCGACCACACGACGGACCAGCTCGGTCCCGGCGGGGACGAGTACTTGCCGCGAGAGATTGACGAGGCCGGCGAGAAGAAGGTGATGCCCAACGGCCAGCTCACGGGGAATCGCGAATACCGCTGTAGGACTTTCCTTGTCCCGAACCGTGGGGATAAACTCTTTATGCTCGCCACCGAATGCGCGCGCGTCCTCGGATACCGAGACTCGTATCTGCTTTTCAACAAGAATAGGTCGCTATTCAAAATCATTGCGAGCCAGGTTGAGAAGGATGATTTGGTGAACCAGGAGATTCTGCCTTTCTCCTACCGTTCACGCCAGATTGCCATTGTGACTGCCAGGAGTATGTTCCGCCAATTCGGGAGCCGCGTCATTGTCAATGGGAGGAGGGTTCGCGACGATTACTGGGAAACCAAGGCGCGCAAGCAAGGGTTCACAGAGGCAGACCCGGCAGGCGAGAAGCGACCGGGCGCCTCCAAGGCTCGCGAGGCCGAGGCGAACCACAGCACTTCGATACTTGGAGCGCCCCATGGCGAGATCGTTTACAGCACCAACCCGGGCCAGTTCGGCGGTGCACCCCAACCACAGCTCGTTCAACCAGGTATGCTTGGAGGACCGCCAGGAAGCTCAACCAGAATGCCTGTGATAACACTAGGACCAGACTATAGCGATACACGAAGCAGGGATTATTCGAGCATCTTGAAAACGGGCCCCCGTCAGGAGATCACCGGGCCACCTTACCAGGACCGGATCCAGCCGTCTCCCATTTCGGAATTACATGCCCAGGCCCATCACGCGGCCGAGTTCAACCGGACTGTTAACCAGCAGCGAGAGATGCGCAATGATTACATGCAGAGCATTTGGCGGAGACCGCATGAGCAACCCCCCCCAACGACGCTGAGCCAGCCTGTTACCTCGGCCGATGCTGCCGTACCGACCAGCCGCGCCGGCCCAGCACCCCACAGCAGCGCTAGTAACCTGCAGCAATCCGGCATCGTCCCCAACCAAAGCCCCATGATGATGTCGGCCGCGCCCTACGCTCAGCCCATCCATGCACAGAACCCGGCCGGCCAGAACACACTGAGAGGTATCACCCACGACCCAGCTCAGAGCACGTCAAGACCAGCATATCCGCCTTCGGGCTCCGCCGGCACTCTGCCGCAGGCCACGCAAAACTACAGTTACTCGCAGCCCCAGATGTGGCCGCCTACGCCCCAAACGCCCCAGCACGGCTACCCCGCCTACACGACTCAATCTCAACCTTCCCCTCACCCGCAGCAATCACCCGCTCCGCAACTGCGACATTCGAGCAGCTCAGGTCCGGTGCAGCCGGGAGGGGGTATGTCCTACCCAGGAATGCCCGGCATGGGTCAGGGGTACGGCGGCGCAGGGGGCCAGGGGATGTACTCGGCCGACCAAACGCCGCGGCAGTACATGCAGCAGAGCCCGCAGGCACCGGCGGTCACCCAGGCTTGGTCGCAGCAACAGGCGCCGGGGCAGTGGTGGCATAATCAGCCACAATGAACGTCATCCCGAAAAAGACGTTGTCAAGGCCCATTTGTTGTTGACTTGGTCCGCCGGGGGGTGGTTGACTGGCTGGCTACCAATGCGCGCTGGGCGGTTCAAGCTGATACCCTGGGCGGTTTCTCTTCTGGTGGGCGGATTTCTCCCCATTTCTTTGACTGGTTCAGGCATCATCCGTTACTGGGCGGGAAGGCAAATTGCTTTCAGGGAAGGGTGCAGTCGGCTTGCAGCATCCGGGCCGGGCAGGGGAGGGTATCAGTCCCAGGGGGATAGAGGAGTCTGGCGAGGGCATATTTCACCAGTTCTGTTTTCTATGATACCTCACTCTTTTTTCTTTGGTTTCTTTTGTTTTCTTGGTATTTCTACCTTTCGGCGCCCCGCCCGTCGCCGACTCTTCACGATACCCACGACGGACCCGACGCCAACAAACACGGTTAACGACTGTCTGGTTAACGATTTTGGATTACCTCGCACCATATTCGACCCGGCGCCGGCGAACCTGGGTTTGGCTGGAGGGAGGTGGCAAGTTTGGACTTGAAACTTTTTGTCTTTCTACACCCGCTATCCCTATCGTCACTGTTCTCCTTCCCCTTTTTTTGAGTACATCATTTATTGTTATCACGCTTGTCATGGAGGGTTATGTGTCGGCTGGCTGATGCTGGGGGAAACTTGGGAGGCACACATTTTGGAGGTTTCTCTCGCGCTGAAATTGTACCGCCGCCCGTCTTACCGTTTGTTTGGTCGAACCCCTTAACCTTGTTCTCTTCGCTGTGTGTTGTTTACCACTTATTTACTCGCTTTGCCCACCACCACCACTTTTGATTTGGCTTCCACGCCCTCGAACCTGAACTAGCTTCTGTTTTGCGCCGCCCCTGTGAGGGTGCATTGCCGGAGTTTTCGTTGTTAATCCCTCCCATGTTCCGTCCGCCACTCACCCCGTCTAAATTGGAGGCGTGACTCCATGTGCGTTACTGTGTTTGGGTTGCACCACACCTCCTCTCCGTGTAAGGGGCTGACTTTTAGTTTCTGATGTGTGACCCCGGGGCTTTGGCTCGGTTCGGATTCTGTTTGGTTCACCACTATCGGCTTCGGTTTTGTTCCCATTTGTGTCTCTCTTGTTCCTGTTCTGCATGGAAATGGATGGTTAGGACTTATTTGGGCCCAGGCGGGAATTTTGATCACTCGTAACTAACTACCAGGATGGCGACTTTTGAATGGTAACTAACACGTGGGTGAGCAGAGCACATTGGATAATATACGCGTTGCTTCAGACTAGCATTCCTTGTTCGGACTGACGGTTGTAATGCTGAGAGCATGGCACTGAAGGTGCATTCGTCTGTCCTATTGGGCAGTAAACTCGGACGGATGCCCAATGTTTGCTCCCACGCCGCCGTAGCTGAAGCAAACAAGCACGACATGTGACTGAAGCATCTCCCACGGCCTCGTTGTCTGTCGACGTCCAAGTTTTGACTGCCGAGACGTTTAGGCCGGCTGTCCAGCTACCCGATCGTCTATCATTTTTTCCAAGTTTTTGTGGAACTTGACAGACAACAGCTCCGATCTTGACTAGCCGATCTGGTGTCTTCGGATCGCAGCCCCCTCGGCGTCCCGTGATGGGGCTTTTTGAGATGCCGTATCCCTGCTAGAACGAGACCGGTGGGCTTGGGTTCAGTCACTTGACTCGGGGAATGAAGTCACCAGGCTGCCCAACACGGTTTCGACAATGCAACTGTACGGAGTTACTGGGCCAGAACTTCAACGTGGTAGGCCAGTCCAATGGCCGACATTTCACCGATGTCTCGCCTTGGGCGATAGGTGATAGGTAACCTGCTTTGTTTTTTGTTATGCAGTTGAGGCCGGGGAATACGAACAAACGCGTTGGGAGCGTGAGTTTAGAGAGGGGCCGTTTTTTATATACCCCCGCCGTAGAGAATAAAACGGAACGGCCTGCAGGTAGCGTTAGTGCACTGCAACAAGCCGACGCTCGAAATGATTACCGTTCTATTTGGTCGAGTATCGCAACGTAACCTGCCACCAGCCAAGTAAAGCCACCCGCCAACCCGCCCACCGCAGACCCAAGGGCGATAGATACTCCATCACCGGCGCGCGTCCGTTTTCTTTCTAACATGCCACCCCCACCCGCCCCATAGACCCAGCCGGACCTGCCTCGCCTCGGCACGTCCAACACCCCCCTACACTTCCCTTAATCACTATCGTCATCCAGCGCCTCATCCTCATCCACCCTATCCGCCCGCTCTTCCAGCTCATCCCCCCTCCCCTCCCCATCCCCATCCTCACTCTCCTCCTCCTCCTCTTACTTATCATCCTCCTACTGCTCATGCTGATCGGGCTCCTCCTGCTGCTC